TTAATCTTGAGGAGGGCCGGTTTAGTTATATCCTGGGAAGACCTCTTTGAAGTCATGGAGTTGTGAGATCTGGTCCTGTCTCTGTTACTTGATTGACTCTGTGTTCTGGGTCTTTGATGGTGTCATCCTGCCAGCCAGGATTGTTGGGATGATTGAATGAAGTAAAATACTTAATTTCTTAGCACAATAAAATATATTTACCTTAACTGTGAGCCCTTGTTTTTCCCAATTCAGAATTTGCTGTTGGCATGAGCAAAGGCAGATGGACTACAAAAGTTTCAGTAGTCTTTACCAACTGTGTTCCCAATTTTAGAAGGTGTTGCACTAAATAAATGAATAATAATAATAATAAACAATATATGATGAAACTAAAAAATTGAGTGGCTAGTTGAATTTGGGAAATACTCTACATCCTCCTTTTGGAGATTTGCTAGACATATTAATATATTAAAGACTTTGAGGAATTCTGCTGTGAATAATGTTTCTTAAAGGTAAATGGAATTTATCATTAAGCTTCTCCTTTGAGAGTACTGATTTCAAAGAATACTGGCATTCCATGCAGTGTGGTTTGTGAAGAACTGCTGTAGGGTAATAATTTCAAGATAACTTGGATAAAATTCTCAATAGCAAGAGGCTTTTCAAGATATATATATACACACACATATACATACATACTTATATTTATCTAGCTATATATTACTTACTGAGACAGTGGTAGTTAACACTTACAGTGGAAATTGATTAACTTTAAGTGAAAAGAATTACTGCTTTAAATGCCAACAACTGTTGTGGAATTCATTGGTTGAATTTTATGACAAACTATTGATACTCACCTAGAAAAAAAAATTACTAAAGTGCTAGCAATCTATACCAAAGTAAATTTGCAGTATTTTTGCTTTAGAGTTATTGCTTATTAAGATAATTACTAGCATAGTTTTAAAGGTTATACAAATCTGGGTCTGAGGGTCCAATTCCATTCATTTTTAATATGGTCATATTCTTCCCTCAGATTTCTTGTTGACATTCTTATTTTTCATAAATTTTTCAGTCATTCAGAGAAGAGTTGTTAGGACATTGGGACTCAACTCCTGTTTTCCTAATCATTTTATGTTTTTGGTTTTCATTTCAGACGATCCATTCTTCAGGTGTTCAGTGAGATTACACATGTGGGAATACTGAATTCCTTATAGTGAGGTGCTAAGTGGTTGGACTTGGTACTGTATTTGAGAAGTAATTGCCTTTTTATAATGTCCTGGCATAGAAATCAGACCCATTGTATTCTCCATTGTACTCTAGTACCTGGCAGCAGACTAGGCACTAATATTGAATGAATGAATAAAATAAATAGAAACCTAATGGTTATCAGGTTTTGTGTAAGTAAGTAAACTATATTTTTGCTGAAAATATCACAGATGAATAGAGGGAGGCAGTATAATAACATGGGAAGAGCACTAGACTAGGAGTCAGAAATTCAAGGTTTTAATTGTATCTGAAGGGGAATGGCTAGCTGTGCGACTTTGGACAAGTCTCTGGATCACCTCATTTTTTTGTCTGTAAAAGGGGATGTCATAATAATCACTCCTGCCTAGCTCATAGGTTGTTGAGGGAATACAATGAATTATTAATATAAAATGCTTTGCAAATGTAAATGTATAAAATCAAGTTTTTTTCCTTCATGCCTAGCACAGTGCCTTGAACAGTATTAGATAGCACAGATGTAGATTCTTGCTTAATAAAAAGGAGGATAAAGAAAAGAGTTTAAGACTGATTCTTGCAGTGCCCACAGAGTGTTTGGGTGTAGAAGGATGAGGAAACAAGAGAGAAACAAAAGCACCAATGAGAAAAGAGGAGAAATCAGGAAACCTGGAATTTCCGGACATGATTTTCAACAAGCTTTGTTTATACTGTTGGGGTAATACTTAACAATTAGCTTTTTATTTAATTTTCAGAACTCTGTCTAAGTATATCCCTCCCTTCGTTGGGAAGTATTTAGGATATGAAGAGTAGTTCCTCTTGTATGTCTAAAATTAGAGTAAACTTAGGTATTTGATTTGATTTTCTGTATATTCTATACTAATTATGAATTACTTTTATTATGATGAAAACATTAAAAGTCTTAAATCACTATATGATTCAAGGGACATCATGTAAAAAAAAGTCTTAAATCACTAAACCATGACTGCTTGACTGCTTTTGGGATGCCACTGTGGTCTGCACAATGAGGAGTCGTATCATGGGAAGGTTCTAGGATGAAAGCTAACCAGCTTTCTAATCTGCTGGTTAGCACACTACTGTTTTCTGAGATAAGAAAATAAGCTTGGGAAATACACCTCTCTCTACCTCGCACCCCTCCACACAACCACTGTGCACCACTAGGCTGTGAATTCCATGAAGAAAGGGACTTTGTTTTACTCACCATTGTAAACCAGCACACAGCAGAAGTATGTGAGCCACTAAGAGGTTGACTGAGAAATTCTAATCAGACACTTATTTCTGATAAAATGATTTTAAAATTGTGGCTATTATTAGGAGATGACTAATTTGTTTTTGCTTATGTGGTACACATGTTTTTGGTTTTTAGGAGTGGAAAAAGAGAAAGTCCAAAACTTGATGCTTCTATTATGTACTCCAAACTAATAAATTATTTTTCTGTCACAAAAGGATCATTTGGGTGTGTGTTAAGGAAGATATTTAAAGTAGTAAGCTACCTTAATATACTTATGAATTCAGGAAATCTATTACTTTTTCAGAAAAATATAAATTGTGAAATGTAGGGTACATCTGATTATACTTTATCGTGAGTGATCATGTGCTAATTATTTTTATCCATGACTTTTCTTGGATTGTTTATCCATGACTTTTCTTCTCATTAGTACATTTCATAAAAATACAAGAAAAACTTATAGGAGGCAAATTAAGTCACTTAATTTTGTAAAATACTATATTTTTGGAAAGGTGTGTGTAGGGGGCAGGTTGGTATTTGAAAGTAATAGCTAAAATAAATATTTGAATAATATATGGTTGTTAATTACCTGTTTTAGCCTCTTTTATTCTAAATCTGTGTTGTCTAATACGGAAACCATTACCACTTGTAGCTTTTTAAATTTAAATTGAATTAATTTTAATGAAATAAAGTAAAAACTGATTCCTGTTGAAGTAGCCACATTTTAACATTTTAGTAGCCACACACTTACACACACACGTGGCAAGCAGTGACTATATTGAACAGTGCAGGTAAAAAACGTTGTTTCTATCATCACAGAAAGTTTTTTTTGAGTCAGGGTCTCACTCTGTCACCCAGGCTGGAGTGCAGTGGCACAGTCATGACTCACTGCAGCCTTGATCTCCTGAGCGTAGGCAATCCTTCTGCCTCAACCTCCCAGGTAGCAGGGACTGCAGGCACACGCCACCACACCTGGCTAATTTTTTTGATTTTTGGTAGAGATGAGATTGCACTATGTTGCTCAGACTGGAGAAAGTTTTATGGATAATACTGTTCTGAGAGTACACCAAATTTATATATTCTGAAAGTTGGAGAATAAAGTAATGCGAAATGTGCTCTCTGGAATTCTTAGGTGGGGTATTTTAAGATAGTTAAATTGTCTGGCAGGGGAGAGAGGGAATAAAGTTTTAGATTATGGAGTTCTTCTATGTTCTTATTTGATGTTGACAACAGCCAGGGCAGGCAATTAGTCTTATCCACATTTTATAGATGAAATCAAGCCTGTAAATGGAGGAACTGTAACTTGAACTGAGGCTTGTCTGACTTTAAAACCTCTATTTTTGTTTGTTTGTTCAGGCGTAGTGTTGAATTGATTATAATCTCTAGTTCATGGTATATTGTCATTGGTCATCAAAGACCCTTTTCTTTCTCATATACATAGGCAACTGTTTTAATGTGGTTTATCTTTTTGTTTTTAGCCTCAAGTTTATTAATTTTACATTTACATAGATGATATTAAATATATAATCTAAAGTGAGATTTTCCCAGTCTTGTACAATGACATTTGATGAGTTAAGCTCCCAGCATTATTTTCTTTTTTTTCAGTCAGAGTCTCACTCTGTCGCCCAGGCTAGAGTGCAGTGGCACACTCATCACCACTGCAGCCTCCACCTGCTGGGCTCAGGTGATCTTTCTGCCTCAGCTTCCAAGTAGCTGGAACTACAGGCACATGCCTCTATGCCCGGCTAAGTTTTTGATTTATTGTAGAGATGTGGTCTTGTCAACCCAGGTGGATCTTGAACTCCTGGGCTGAGACAGTCCTCTTTCCTCGTCCTCCCAAAGTGCTGGGATTACAGACATGAGCCACCATGCCTGGCTCCCAGCTTTATTTTCGAAAAGTTTGTGAGGAAATATTTTTTCATGACATTGGACCTTTTGGCCTTTGTAATCAGAGAAGTCTGAAACAGTCTTCTCCCTTTTTGCTTAGGGAGTATTGATTGAAGGATTATTTGTCCCTGAATGCTTGTATATACTTTTTTGGTGTTACTTTTCTTTTCTTCTTCATTATTAAGTAGCCAGTGATTACTTCTCACAGATATTGGTGTGTTTGAGCATTGTGGCTGCTTTTTTTTAGAAATTGGACTTTTTATTGAGCTAATTGTAGATTCACATACAGTTGTAAGAAATAATACAATGAAACCCTTTGTACACTTGCTCCAGTGCAGCTGCTTTTTATGCTTCTAATTTATATGTAGGCTGAGAAGTGGGTAGACAAGCTTGTTAGAATTATGTTTAGAGAATTATGTTCGAGGCATTCTCTTTTGAATGATATGGCGAGCTATAGCCTGTAGACTTAATTTTAGCTGCTTTTTGCATAATTTTTATTATGTATTTCAGTTAGTGAAGTTATATAGCTAAATTTTGGGTAAATTGTATAGTATTTATATTCTTTTAAGTAAATTGCATTTTTATAAACATACTATTGAAAGTAATTATACAAATGTGAAATCTTAAATTTTGATAATGATTAGAGATTTCTGTGTTTGTTTTGTTTTAGGTTGTTTCACGAAGAAATCCAGAGGATGTCCAGGAGGTAACATATTTATATGAAAATTTTACTTTATATGTTTGATAAAAATTTAAATGTTTTATTGAGGAAACTGCCTGAATTATTTGCATGTCGCTCTTTGTATGTTTGTATAGAGATTGTCTTCAGCTCACAAGACAGTAGTGAAATGTTCTATTTCAGACCTGCTAAGTAGGTGTTTAGTTGTGTAAATAATAATTTTAGGAATTATAGTGATATTTACTAGATGATAATTGTTTGGTAACTAGTACTGTGAAGATTTCAGTATTTAGGCCCTTTGTTTATCCACTTTAAAATCATGATGGCCTGTGTTATAAATAATAAGTATTTGGTAACTAGATTAATTTTAAAGATTATAATACTAAAATTATAGGTCTCGACCTACTTCTACTTTTATATTAAATTGACATGTTGGCATCTTGGAAAACTACTTTAGGTGTAGATATTTCTTTTTAACTTTTTAAGTTAGTAGTTCTTTTGCAGACTTTTCATTGCATTTTTCCTTTTTTCCTTTTCTTTTTAAAATGATATCAGCCTGTTACATTTGTGCTAGTGGGATTCTCTATATGTATTTACTCTATGCTTGCTGTATATCCTCAGTAATCCTGAGTGGAGAGCTTGCTTCTTTTAATGTTTCTTGATTTACCTCCATTTTGGTCCCTGCTCATTTTCACTAAGTCTAGAAGGACATTTACTGGGATTTTTTTCCCTCACTAATGTGTTTAAAACAAATGCTGTAAATTTACACTCCTGATTCTATACGAGTATTTTGTTTCGTTTTCCTCAATTGAGTATGAATGTCTTTGGGTGGAGTATGCAACTTTCTATTTAGCTAGAGGCCCCACTACTCCTTAATGAGCATACTGGGCTTGATTCATACCTTTCAGCTGATTGTTTGGTACTGATTGGTTTGAGTGTGTGACTGGAGGCTTACATAATATTTAAATTTTATTCATTATAATTTCTTGCTTTGTCTGAGCTGATATTTGTTTTTGTCTTATGTTTAAAAAGTTTAATGAAAAGGTACACTTTATACCATTTTCCTCATAGGTTTTAAGACAGACCTCCACCTTCTTCCCAAGTAGTCAGAAAGAATATTGTAATATTGTAATTTTGGAAGAAAGAGATATATGTGCCAATGAAAGTAATTTGCACTATTGATTTGTTAAAGTACTGTACTCTCTCTACTTGTCAATTGAGTAGTATGAACTGTTCTTTAGAATTCTACTAATTATGTTAACTTAATAGTCAATACTAGGATATTCTGCTTTTGAAAGTTTGCAACTTTGTTAAAATTGAAAATGGGTTGTGTTTCCTTTGAATACTTTGTCTGATTGCTGTGCTGTAGTTTGTAGCTTGATCTTCCCATTTTCCAGGGAGAATCCTGAACCAACCTATCCATGAACATACTCTCTGCCATTTCCTTAATCCTTTTTTGGGGAACACTCTTTTATAATAACAACTGTTGGTGACTCATTCATCAGAAAACTCTTGTAAGTGTCTTTTAGTTAGACAATTGCATGGTCCTTTGCTAGAAATGGTATAAATTTTTTGAAAAAGGCTTCTATCTAGTTGGCTTCTTAAAATATAGAATAACCTTGGAATTATAGCACTACTTTTTTTTTTGGTTTCCCATTTACTTCATTTGAACATTGAAATTCTCATTTAGGAGAGGAATTCACCATTTACAATTTGTTTTTCATTCTTTTTCTGTCACTTTCTGTCTCTGTGAACTTTATTCATTTAGTTACTGCTTTAGAATGACTCAGGCTTCACAAGGGCTATTAAGTACTAAATGTACTGTTCATTTAAATCTGTGCTAATAGCCGGGCTTGGTGGCTCAGCCTGTAATCCCGCGCCTTTGGGAGGCTGAGGTGAGTGAATTGCCTGAGCCCGCGGGTTCGAGACCCGCCTGGGCAGCGAGACCTCATCTCTACAATAAAACAAAAAATCAGCTGGGCATGGTAGCGCATGCCTGTAATTCCAGCTACTTGGAAGGCTGAGGCAGGAGGATTGCCGGAGCCCAGCAGGTCGAGCGGTGGTCTGGGCGACAGAGTGAGACTCCAACTCAAAAAAAAAAAAAAAAAAAATCTGTGCTAATAATATGCTGCTCTTACAAAACTGGAGTAATTTTACTGTTTTTCTTTTATTTATACCTTGACACATCCCACCAGCTATCAGGGCCTAAGAATGCCAAAAAATACTCACCTGAAGTAAATTATTTAAAATTTTCTAGGATAGCTTTCTTTTTTTCTTTTAACAATTCCCTCGAATTTTTATTTATTAAGGGGAGTATGGGTGAATCTGTAAGCAGACAGCAACAGGTTAATCTGTGGCCTCTCATTCAGTAGATTCTCTAGTCTAGAATATGAGCAGCCTGCAGAAGAGTGAAGAAAGAGATGATGTTGCCTCCCCCCCTTTTATAAAAAAAGTAACCTATAGTTGTTTCTGTGTAGGTAGCATGTTTCACTTGTGAAATTTGGGGAAACGAAGAACTGAAATAGAACTTTCTATGTATTGTGTCAGAAATGCCTAACTGTTAACTCCTTTCATAAATAAATACTTTTAGAAAATAGGTACACACTCAGAAATGTACGAGGGGAAAAAAGGCTCTTGAAAAGAGAGGGAAGAAAATCCATAGGTACATAGGATGGTAGTGATGTTGGTTGTAAGAAAAGATAATCCCACAAATTTTAAATGCTATATGAGAGTAAGAAGAACAAAGTTGATTCAGTTGGATGATTTTGTAAAATATAGAAATCTAAACATTTTTGTTATTAACTGTAATTATCTAAAAAGGAAACTTTTTATATGTAAAATATTTAAGGTAATTTTTTTTAAAAATTAAGCTTTTGTTTGTCAAGTTTGTAATTTGTATATGGTTGTCATTGAATTAATATTTCACTGAGAAAATTTCTTCAGAGTGACTTCAATGAATAAGAAATTTATGTAGGGTCAGGGTTGGTTCATAAAGAGATAGGTGTTATATAATTATTTTTTCCACTTGGAAAGTATTGAACATTTATTAGAGAAAATAATTTTTTAATATGTCTTTGAGGACTTTGATTAGTACATATGTAAACATCAGTACTTGCTGATGTAGTGCACTTGTACTTGCCTATATTGAAGATTTATGGAAACTTTCGGAGCTTAAAAAAAGAGAAGAAAAAGAGGCAGTGGATGTGACATTTTGTGATGCTCTTGGATATTTGGTTCTAGTGTTGAGAATAAGGAATATGTGAGTGAATAAATTAGGATATGGTGAAGTAACACAGATTTTCACTGTGAGAGTTCTAATTCTTGCTCTAACAGACTATCTACTAGTTTATACCATGATATTTTAATCATTAAGATTACATTGTTGCTAGCCGGGCTCCGTGGCTCAGCCTGTAATCCAGCGCCTTTGGGAGGCTGAGGTGAGTGGATTGCCTGAGCCTGCGGGTTCGAGACCCGCCTGTGCAGGCGAGACCTCATCTCTACATAAAATCAAAAAATTAGCCGGGCGTGGTAGCGC